TATTGATAAAAAAGTACAAGATCCATTGGCAGATTATTTTACTGATAATGACACATTTTCTCATGTTATAAGTGAAATAATCTGCCAGTAAAACTATTACCTTTTTTAACAATATTAAGGAATTCTTAAATAAATCTTCTGTAAGATAGTTTGCCTTATTTCAAGATATTTTCACTGGAAATTAGACAAAACGTACTTGGTACGATTTTGTGTTTTTGCAGCAAAGCTAAGAAAACAGTCAAATTGAGGTCATATCCATTTTCAGATGTCTTCACTGTGAGTCACTGAGTGTCACAAACTCTACGTCAGTGCACTTGTCTTCCCCACCGCTGTTCTGCTGAAGGCCCTCAGAGGGAAGCAGGCACAGAGACAAGACTGTGGGGTAAAGAAGAGAAGAAGGGAGAGTACATGTTCTTCTTCCTCCCTCCTCTTCCACCTCTGCCCCTCTCTCGGGGTGTCACGTCCTATTTGTGTCCTGGGGTCGCCTGTGTGGCAACGGCGACGTTGCTGGGGGGCGGAGGGGTTCTCTCGCTTGGCTGGGAAGCAGGGAGGACATTGGAGCGTTGGTCTGAGGGAGAGAGAGAAAGCAAGAGAATGAAAATCCATCAGGAGACGGAGAGAGTGGAAGAGGAGGAGGAGGAGGGATGCACCCATTCAGCCATGTCTTTGACATGGGAGTGTTTCCGACAGGCGTGAAGAAAGGAAGGGCTGACTGGGCTGAGAGAGCGGCGCTCTGGCCGCACACACTCAGGGATGTTTTTCTCACTCAGGACGACTTAGAGATTTTTAACTCTGAATTTAACATTAGATTCAACCACATTTGGTTCACGTCCGACTCCGGTTTTCTCTGAGGCAGAGATGCGCTTCTAGTTTACATTTAGGATTCACATCCCAACATTAGGTGTGTTGAATGGTTTCCACAGATGATTTCTGTCGCTTTGCGGACCCTCTTCACCCAGTAATGCACAAAACTCGAACAGGACCGCCAGTTTCAGTCCAAACATCCCGATTGGCATCAACCTGAAGACGTCTTGCTAACGCCGTTTCCCTCCATGTTTGACGCTTTTATCCTCCATATTCTTTCCTCCATTCCTCTGCTGCTGCTGCAGTGAGAGAGAGAGAGAAAGTGAAGCCACATAAGGTTATACACAGTGGCATGACGCCATGCATTCTGATTTATAGATCTAAAATGGCTGCCGTGTTGTGACTGCTGTAGAGGCTTGGATGGAGAGCGAGGGAGTGGTGCGGGGGCGTCAGGGTGGAGGTGTGTGTTTGGCTCGGAATAGCAAACCTTTCCTTGGCCGTCCAGAACGCCCCGGAGAGTTCTGCGTCGCTGACTGTGGTTTGTTGGTGATAACTGATTAATTAGGCCACTGCGTGCAGCTCTGCGCTTCCATCAGCCGGCTTTCCACAACGCTGCTGCCTGAAATCATCAAAATATGGCCTTTTCTGGCGGTGTGTGCATAGTGTGCAGTGGTAAAGTGAATCTGTCTGCTGTGTTTGTTAAAGGCTGCGCTGGTTGGATCCTGCAGGGAGACCAGAGCCCTCACACTGAAGCAGCAGCCACTGAGGAGTTAGAGGTCAGCTGCTGCCTCAGCCTCTCTGTGGGGCTCAGAGCTTTGATTTACTGACTCCCCTGCATCAGTCCCAGCTCTGCCACTCTGAGCCGGTGTGACACTGCCTCCATGTGGACAAATATGCACACAACACGGCTGCTCTCGAGCAGGATGTTACGCTCAACCAGCGGTGCCCTCAAACTGAGCTGCTAAAGTTTCCATCATAAAATAAGTGTGCTGGATTAAATTAAATGTAATCAAAAAGTGGTTTATCTTTGTTTTTCCAATCAAAAACACAAACTATACATAGATTTACTGTTAAATTGAATGTTACACTATTAGTATTTCTGTTTTAACTTCTAGTGTAAATATTTCAGTACATTTGAAATGAGACATAGCTAACTTCCAAGTAACTTTTCAGCACAATATAGGAGCTTGTTTTACGTCAATAAATATTTAAAATTGATTAAATTGTTGGTAACAGTGTGGTTACTATTGTTGCCCCCACCAATAAATCACCCAGTTTATTGGGTGATTTATTAATTGGTACACTGTAGCTTGTGTAATGATCATGGGATCAATGTGATTGGTTGGTCAGCAGACAGGAGAGCCTACAGTGCAGACAAACTGAGGGTCAATAGTAAAGCAAGAACTACAGGCTGATCCTTCCATGTCACGCTGCACTGATCCTCTAATTCAGTTGTTCCCTTCAGTGGAGTTTGAAAGCAAACATGCGTATAGATTTATGTCTGGTTGGATGATGTGTGTGGGATTATATTGTAATCCATAGGCCCAGAAAATCTTTGGGAATCACTGCACAAATTCATGCTAAAGAAACAAGCAGTGTAAAGGAAAACCTTTCAGTTGTCCTACATTTTGTTATTTCTGTGGCCATTTTGTCAATTTTTCTGAAACTTAACTTTGTATTTTCATCAGCTATAAGCCATAATAATTGAAATAAGTAAAAATAAATGCTTGAATGCATTACGCTCTCTGTGTAAATTGTAAATGAACATTTTCAATGACAATCTAATTTGTTAAAATGCTTCTATAAGCAAAGTCATAATTAAGCTACAAATTTGCGTTTTTCAGTGAGAAGACATAATTGAGGTCAATGTTTTCCTCAGACGAGTTCAACAATGTTTCCTTTTTGTGTGTTAGGCTTTCTTGACCAGTTTCTGATGGTTATCTCACTGAAAGGTCTCACACTGCCCACGGCTCCGTTTTCAGAAAGCTGTCTGACCTTTTCCTCTATAATCTCATCTTAATCCTCTTCAAATAAAAATTTCCTTTTACTCTTAGATAAATCAGATCGCGAGGCTGTAATGAATCTTTAAATAGAGCTCATTTCATTAAAGTTTAACATCCTCAGCATTGTCAGGAGAACAAAACACACCCGTGGTTGAACTCTTTTTGTGTTTATCTCCTGAACCTGCAAATCTCTTGTAGGTACAGATACAAACCTTGCAGAAACATGCATTCTTTCTTTATCTTCTGGTATGTTTTTCCCAGCAGCATGAACATGTACAACACACTTCTCATATGTAAGCTCTTCATTTGAAACATTTCTCTGATTTGGCAGCATTTAAAACTTAAAGTTGGAAACTTTATACAGCAACCTTCAACAACCTTAAAGCTACAACTTTGATTAAAGCTTAAAGTTAAAGCTAGCAGCATATTGTGACAGAAAATATGAGGCAATCTGTGAAAAGCTCGATCTCCTCCTCCTTCCTGAGCTGTTGAAAGAAATGCACCGCTCTCAACCAACACCAACCAATCAGAGCCAGGAGGCGTGTCTTAGCGCTGTCAATCAACATTGTCAATGTTCTTAGCATTCACAAAGGGCTCTGTTAACTTGGAGAAGCTTTACCCAGTCAGTGAGCAGATGGGGCAAGTCACTGAATGGCATGATTGACAGCAGTAAGACCCGCCTCCTGGCTCTGATTGGTTGTTCTAGTTAGCACTGGGAGAAGGCAGAGAAACTCAGTTTTTCACTGATTATCTGTCTCATGTTTATTCAAACTGTCACTATGTTGTATCACAACATAGTGACAGTTTGAATACAAGTAGTTTTTTTATAAGTAACATAATGCCACTTTAAAATAAATTGCCATAGAATTTTTACTTTTATTCACTCAAATAATTTAAGTTTTGTTTGCCGACCAACATCGCAAACATGTCAAATATTTTGCCTCCTTATCAGGAGCAAAATATTTAAATCCTGCAGAAAGCCGATGTAGGCTGATGAGAACAACTTGAGCCCGTATTGAACATGCTGTGCTTCTTTCTCTGGATGCCTGCTGAACTTGGCGTACTCCCCCACAAAGCAAAGCAAACCTCCAGAGTGCTGCAAACTGTTCTGACGCGGAGAGACCTGCTTGTTGCCCACAAACAGTCTCAGCGCTCCTCCGGCGTGTTTCGTCAGCTCCAGCAGCAGCCATCTATAGAGGAGTGAACGTGTGTATTATTAGATGGAGAAAACCACTCAGCACAGCAGGTATAGCTTTGATATAGCTGTTAGAGGCTCAGTGTGTGGAAGAAAGCGTTGTTTTAGAGCATTTGAAGGTTTTTGTTGTCGTGTTTAGAAAAAGGTAAGTGTGAAAATGTCTTGAGGAGTTCTCAAAGCGAGCGGATAGTCTTTGATGCTTTGTCCTACAGAGAGCCGCAGAAGACATGCTGCGCTATAAGAAGAAGCTGTAGTTCCTTTCTAGTGTCACTTTGCAGTCAGACTGAGGAGCATAAAATGAAATATAAAAAATTTGCAACTGTGAGGATAAATTCAATGCATAAATAAAATCCTTTTATATGCTTTGTAACTTATATACAAGGAAATTCAACTAAAATTACAATTCCTTAAAATACTAAACAGATTTATCAATATTTAAATGTTTAAATTAATTAAACATGTATGTATTTATGTTACTTAAAACAAAATTAGCACAATATTTTTTTGGTTATTTAAATAAAACTATTCTATTTAGATTTATTTAACTATCTTGTGTTCCTTGTGACAACCATAGTGGTTATTTTCAAATATGAAATGTATAATGAAATAATTTCTGTTTAAATAATTAGAGCTATTTTGTTTTTGAGGTATTCTGTTTGATTTCATAGTCATAATGACAATTACAATTATTTTATGATGGACACCAGCAAAGAAATTTAAAAAAAGTAAATTAAAATAAATAATTACACAATTCTGTAAGAATAATTGTGATCACTTATGTATTTTATGAACAAATAACTTAAAATGTTATTAAATGTTTTTAAAGTGCTTTATAAATAAAATTGTCATTGACATTGGATTTAAAAATGATGTACATTCTGAATGTTTGGAAGGAAACCACTGGAAATGCTCTGCTGCAAATTAAGACATTTCAGCACTGATGGTTTCATTTGACTTTTTCTGCTGCTTGGATTTAAGTTTTTGTGTTTGGTCTTTAGGAACTGGATAAGAAAGGCCACGGTCCGATCACCACTGAGGTCCTGGAGGGACAGGAGTTTTTCTACGCGGAGGACTACCACCAGCAGTACCTGAGGAAGGTACCCAAAGGTTACTGCGGCCTTAAAGGGACCGGGGTCTCCTGTCCTATTGGGGGCAGCAAGGAGGAGCTGTAAGGCATCTGTGGAGGCAATTAAAACTATATTGATCCAAAAAAGGGATTTTGTTGTTTCACATCAGCAAAAAGCAATAAAATGAAGCAACAAATATGCTCAAATGTATGTATCATAAAAACATTTCAAATTTGTGAAACTATTACAGTTTAAAGCAGTAGAGTGAAAAATAAAACAATGGAATAAAGTAGAGAAACCTAAATACTTAAGAAAAGTGGAGCTTTTATAGATTTAGTGACAGATTTAACATGTTTGTAGCAACAGAACCTAAAGATGTGAAATGCAACAGAGAGGTTGAAACCGAAATAACATTCAATGCATATCTACTCTTTATTATATTTTGTATATAAAGTCTGAAAAACCACATGACAAACTGGAAAATACTTAAATCATTCCAGTTAGAAGTGGGCGATTTGGCAAGAACACACCATGAACTTTTTCAATTTGTTTTTTTACATCAAATTCAGAATCACCATTTCATCACAATTTCCTAACATTGAAACGGCTCAGAAAGAAAAACATAACAGGACATTCATGACGGAAAACATCTTCAACCAGATTGATATTAGTTTGCGCAATTTTCCAACTTGTGAAAAAAAAAAAGACTTCTAATCAATAAAAGTGAACAAACACCCTGTTATAAAATGTCAGGTTTCTGTGATGTAAAAAATGACACCATGGTGAGTCATTTTAAAAATTTTCCACCCATTTGATTTTTATCCTGCACAACACCCAGGGTTTTCCGGTGTTAATTCTCCCTGTGACTCGGCCTCCTGCTCAAAAATATACTTTAATTTTATAAATAAACAACTGTAACAACACGCTCTCTTGCTACACGAAAGCTAATTTGTGAAGATAATGAAAAACTGATATATCAGAGTAAGAACATAGAGCAGCAATGCATAGAGCAGATGATCGCTCCATCCCTCTGCTGTGGTTTGATCTGTGCCTCAACGATCCAAGATCTTCACCTCTAATTCCAGTATATTAACATTCAGCCACAGGTTGGCTGTCGCATGTAATCCTGAAATGATAGAAATCCATCAGCCACTTTATTAGCTACACCCTCCCACTTTCAGGTTGGACTCCCTCTTACCTTTGGAAGAAGCTCAATAAGTGGTGGCATTGATTTAGCAGGGCTCAGAAACATTCCTCAGAGATTGTGGACGTATTCACTTGATGACATCACACACTAATATTCACCCATGGGCTGAATCTCCTGTTTCACTGCATCCCAAAGGGGATCTACCTGGTGGCTTTGTGGCATAGAGCCAAAACCAACTTGAAATGATTTGACCTTTATGACCTGATTCATTATCTAGATGGAAATAGGCATCAAAAGATCGTGGTCAAAAAGGAATGGACAGTATAAGGACTCTAGCAGTTTCTCATCATTCTGATGCTCGACTCCAGAAATGCTTCATCTGACCACATTGAGTTTCTGTGATGTGATTGGTTGAGTCACTGCTAGTTTTTTGCAGGCGTACCTAATAAAATGGCCAATGAGTGTACATAAACAGTGTTGTTTATATAATTTTATGTTATTCACATGTACTGGAGCATTAATAAACCTGAAATTACATATGTAGAATTTCAGCTAAAGTGTGGAGATGTGCTGCAAAAGTCACATTTACAACATGAAAAATGCTCATTTTTCTTTTACAAAAATAAAAAATAAACGTTCAAGATGGATGAGTAAACAAAAGTAAAACAGAAACCTGATGTTATTTTAGAGAAAAAGTCAAAATGTTTGAACTGCAGTTACACTCAATGTCCACACGGTGGTGGTATTTCTTAAACATGATCGACTTTCACTTGCTTTTTTCATATTACAAATCATCATCAAATAAACTCACAAAACTTTTCTTATGTAAACTTTCTAAACTAAAACAAATGTGGTCAGTAAACATACAATAACTGTGAAACATTTTATAATGTTTCGCATTATAAAGTAATTAACAGAGATTAAATGCTTTATATCCAGTTTTCTATTGTTATTGTCATTTTTAACATTTCATAACAATTTTCATTAAAGCTGTCTTGTAAGCTGTCTTTCATATCTCATTTAAGAAACAATAAAATTAATCTCTCATATTTTTGTTTGTTGCATGGATGATTTTTATCTAAGTGTCAGTATTTGTTTTTGCACACACCTGCCCACTATTTTATGCTATATTTATAAACTATTTTGTCCCGTCTGAGAAGGGACGCGCCACAGCAGCAAGGGAACATCTGTGACTCAGACACGTGTTCAGAGAGGACTCATTTTGGAAAGCAGAATGAGAAACTCTGAGCCTTTGTGCTCTTTGTCTGGTTCGGTTTTTGCTGAACCCCTCACCCCACTTCTTGCAAAACCGCAATTAGGATTTAAAAAACAACTTACAGCTGAACGTCTTTAAAAATACAATCATTGAGAAAAGAAACAAGAAATCCCCGGAAACCGTTGTGCACGCCGTGCTTTTAAAATTAAACACACGGCTGTGAAAGTGTTGTTAAAAATGAAAATCACACTCATGGTTAGAATCCAAAATACAGAGATGATATCTAGAAAAAGCTTTCTGGTCGACCGCAGTAGTGTGATTCACCCCGCTCTTGTTTTTCCCCCTCCCTCTCCGCTATCTCTCTCTCTCTGTCTGTGTGTATGTGTCACATCCTGACACCTGTGTGTAGGTGTGGACCAGGGCACAGGTGCAGGTGCAACCTCCCCGGGCCTATTTTAGTATTGGGGCAGATATTTTTGCATGTGTCTGCATGCAGGAGCCGTGCGTGCGTGTGTGTGTCGAGGCATGTGGAGCTGCGGCTTGCTTGATCGAACTGCTCTGAGTGGTATGTGGTTTGGCCAACAAGCTGTTTTCCAGAGCCTGCTTGTACTTTGCATGTCAGTTTGATTTTTTTTTTTTAAACAGTAGATAACCTTTTAATAAAATGAGCTTGTTGAGTTCGTCAGGCTTTGACGGTAAGCGAGCTCTAATCGCAGGCTGGGATCAGTGATCAGCTTCTCCGCCACCTGCACCACTGGCCTCAGTGAGCTGCTGCTGATTTCTGCCACACACACAAGGTTCAGAATGAGTCGAGATGTGCTGCGAAAATTTCATGCAAAAATGAGTCACATTTAGAAATAGCTGCAGGAGTGTGTGGCGTCTTTGTGATAGGTTAAAAAGGGGCATGGAAATGCATGGTACTGTCATATGGGCATCCACACACAAGCACAGTGGGGCGAGGCAGGACAGGAACCAGGCTCTGTGTGCCCATCAGACAGAGCCTATTGTCTGCAGATGGGCTTATAATGGCCCCACAGCTGGCCACAAACTGCGTCTCTCTCTGAAACATTTTAAAAATACACATCTCTTAGTTAATGGGTTCAATAAAAACCCTCTTAATGAAGGAATGAGCAGGTTTGTGAAAACAGGTGGCGCTATGAAACAGTGGGCTGAGCCGTGGAGATAAAGGTGTCGGTTGTTTATCGGAGGTTCTCTGCACTTTTACCCACACACACACGCATTCACGTAAACACACGTCTCCACCAGCAGCAGCAGCAGCTCTGAACGCCGTCCTGTACCGCCGCCTAATGCAAAGGGGAGCGCCCACGCAAAACGAGCAAAAAGACACCAAAAAGACACCTTGCACAGTCGTGCACCCACGCAAAATGTCTTGCACTGATACACTCTCTATTGTGTCCTCCTTTTCACATCTTTCTATTTAACTTCCCTTTGACGACATCAATAGATCTTAACTTATTTTTGTGCGGTATTTACACACATGATTGAAAGTTGCTTTGTTTTTTTGGCGTTTCCTCTTCTTGTGCTTTGCAGTAACATAATTTGTTGCTTCAGACACCAGCACTGCATTGCTTGGTAGGTTGTATAAATAGAACAATAGCTTGGAGTTGTGCTGTCCTACCAGCTGGAGAATGGTTGTGCCTTCTTGTTCTGCTCCTCACATAATTGCTTCATCCAAATTGTAGAGCTCCAGCAGGCATGCTTTAGATATGTCTGTTTTCTACTTTTTTTTTTAATTGCTTGTACATTTATCTCCTGATGATATGAGCAGCTATGTGCGGGGTTTTTCAGATGCCAGATGTGTTCGCATCCCCTCCCATGCTCTCTCTTCCCCTCCCTCTGGTTCCTGCAGGGGCACACGGTCTCAATCAGAGCGTCGGGGCTCCAGGAACCAGAGCACAGCGGCGTCTCTGTGTTGCCCAGAGAAGTGCAGCCTTGTCTGGGTTCCTGCATCTGTGGCTTGGGGGCAAGCTGGGGAGAGAGGGCAAATCCTGGTGGCCCCTGCAAGCTGGTTAAACTCCAGGTCTGATCTGTGGATCACGATTCAACGCCAAGGGAGAAGAAGTAAATAAACGCAGCTACTGTGCATGTAGTTATGTGAAGTTAATAAAAAGGTTATCTAAAACAGGTTTGTGTGGCGTGGCGAGCTCACACATGTTCACACACACAATGGTTTTTAATTCCACTGAGGAAATGTGGCAGAGTTTGTTCTCTGCCCCTCTGGGACTGGAGCCGTGTTTCGGGTGGAGGGCAGCACGTGCTGCTGGGCCCAGTAGACTACTAACTGGCCCACAGGCTTTCTGGCTGACAGCCCACTCTGTGTCATGCTGCACCTGTGAGCCTGTGTGTTTATCAGCCATGCTAGCTAGCTCAAGCTATCACCGCATGACACAGGAAACCCAGAAATAACTGCTGAGTGTCTTCAGTGCAGTTACTGTGCACTGGGGGCGTGCTGCTGACAGAAAGTGGCTGAAAGAGGCTTTAAAGCAGCAGGAACACCGGCTGGAACGGCGCGAAGCGTTAGCGTTTGGGAGCAGGAAGAGAAAACTGGAAGGGAAAGTGAAACACGGAGATGCTCAGCCTCTCTTGCACCTGTGCATGTAGCTTTCTCTGGTCTTGTTTCAAACCGGGGGATGAAACATTCATATGGTGCACAAATTTGCCAACATATGCAGCATCCGTTTATCATTTTGATAACCGGCTTCAAAGACCATCTCAACCATTGACATTTTACAACCGAGTCGCTGATGCAACAGTCAAATTTCCAAAACATCTTCCTCCCCATGTTCACCTTAAATCTTTATCTGCTCTGTCCATCTGCCTCTTGAGTCATCTCAGCCTCAACTCACACAGCTGTGCAAGTGGAGGAAAGTTTTAACGTTGCCAGCGAGCGCCGCGATTAGACCTCGACACAGGAAAATGTTGTGCAATATTCAGGCTTTCAAGTGGTGATGTGCTGATGTTTCACCATTACGTGGAAAGGAGGACAAAAACAGGACAGACGCACATACACACACACGCATGTGCACATTGTGTTTGCATTGCAACATGCACTAACTGTTTTCTGTGTGCATGCCAAAGCCTGATCATTTCTGCCAACGGTGCAGATTGAATCTCAAGTTGAGCCAACATGAGATGGTGGTGTGATACTGTCTGTTTCTCGCTGTGTAGGAGAGGAGCAGATTTTTTTGTTGTTGTTGTTGAAAAAAGGAAAAGAATAATTAAACGTCAAGGAAATGAGAAGATGGAGGGAGTGAAAGAGAAAAAGGGAGGAGAGCTGGTGCTCGCTGCACCAGGAGGAAGCTGGGTCTGATGCATCTCCATGCAGCTGTTCCCAAACACCCACACTCTTCCTGTTGGAGTGTGTGTATCTGAGCAAGAGCTAAAAAAAAAATACTATTTTGTCTGACGTTTAGGTGTTTTACTTTCATATATGGAAGGATTAACTCATGTTGTTCAGATTTGGGTGTCTTTTTTGTACGTAACCTCATATTTATTGTTTCAAAGTTGGAAGAGACGCATGAGAAAGGTCAGCTTCTTTAAAATGATAAATTTGTGTCTGATTCAGATAAACAGAAATAACAAAAAGCTGATAAAGGGTGATTTCAGTCAGTGGAACAAAACGTGAAGTATCCACCAGAAAACGCGGCTTTCTCCGGCCCCCACTGAGGCCTTGTGTTTCTTCAAACAAAAGCTGGCCTCAAAAAACATCCGCTGGTGGAAAACTTGGCCTGTCACTCACTGAATGGAAAGGTTTGAGGTGAGAGTGTGGCCACACTGAGGTGTCAGCAGGGTATGTGATTGTGTATGCGTCAACTATGTGAGTGTGGCAGCCTTTTCAGGTTTCGTACCCAAAGTAATGCAAAGACGTCTTTTGTGGACCGCATTGCTGCTGCAGCTAACCGATGGGTGTTCTGCATCGTTGCTCACTGACCTCGGAGTGTCACCTCCAGATGGCTTCTTCCATATTCTTCAGCATGATTTAAATATGATTCACTTTTTACCAGTTCATGGTTTCTGATCAACACATGAGGATTTTGTAATGAGAGCTATGAGAGTTAGCAATACACAAAAAAAGCCATAATTGTATTAACTTCGTGGTGAATTCCAAATGAGCATTTTTCAAAAAATAAATTATAGCAGCAGCTTGTAAGAGTATGTTATTTTGGCTGACATAAAGTCAAAGTTATTTAGCTTAGATAAAAACAGCTGCCATTAATTCAAACATGAAGTCGAAGGTTGTAGATCATCAGATTAAAAGTTGAACAGAAACTAACGCATAGATTTGAGCTGCTGTGAGTCAAACGTCTGCTTAACACGACACTATTAATGACCATCTACTTCTCATTGCGGATGTGTATTAATAAAAGGCGTGATGGTGCTGTTATAGCCTTTTAAGGTCAACAAAAAAAAACTTTTGTTCATTTGAAACTTAAATATGAAGCAGAGTTATAGAAATGTTGCTGCTGTCAACTTTATAGACTCAATTTAAAATGCTGTTTATTTAATAAAACAGGTATTCTCACATTGTATGACATCACAACAGAAAAATTCAGCTTATTTCACAACCTGTCTTAGTCAGTAGTTTATAGATCTACATTTACAAGTATTTCTACCAGCATGAAACATCTAGAAAGTCATATTTCTAACTGTTACAACATTTAAAGCCTTTAACATTTAACAAAGTTTACCCAACTGTGGTTTTCTGACACTTTTGATTGCAATCGCTCCCCGTTTTTCATGAATTAAAAATAAATGTTCAAAACTTCAAAAATGATGCTTGTTGAAAAGGTTACAATAATGAAAGTTTTTATT